CACAACATTGTGAATATACTAAATGCTACTAAATTATATACTTTAAGATGATTAATTTTGTGTTATGAGTCACTTCAATACAAAAAGGCAGAAAAGGAGAAGAAAGGAAATTAGCAGTTAGTGAGCTACTGCTATATATTAGGCTCTGTGCTAAGCTTATGTATTATCCAATTAAATCCACTAAATGATGCTGTGAGTCATTGTCCCCAGCTTACAGATAAACAAACCAAAGTCCATGCAACCTAATTTCCTTAGATAATAAATATGAATCCGGAAATCAAACCCAGGTCTGTCTGACTCCAAAGCCTACACCCTTTAACCTCCCATAGCTAGCCTCTCATTACTCTGTCCATAAGGACTTATGTCTTTGATCAGAATAAAGCATGGCTCACCAACTACTCCTTCACAATGACAAATTTTCCAGAGAAAAATGCTGAAATTAAAATTTAATTTTTACACCAAGCCCTCTCTGATATCAAAAATTGCCCATTCTTGAAATGGTGGGGAAAACAAATTTTCATGGCCCTACTCCCAGCCTTCACAGATTTTACAAAACATGATCTGCAGTTGGGGTAATTTTTAGGCGCTTCAGGAAGTCTTCATCCCAAAGACATACATGTTCCTTCATGCTTGAAATCTTTTTATTAAAGAGATAGAGCCTTTTTCCCCACAACTGGAAAAAAAGGCTGAAGACCTACTCCTTGGAGAGGAAACACACTAGTATAGCGATTAGGACAGATTATACCATTCCATGAAGGATAGTTTTTAATAAGCTGTGAAGGGGGCAAGCAGTGTAAAGACTAAACCTACTCTTCCTGAGGTCCCACAGAGTCAGTCACAGACCAGCAAGACACAATTGGAGCCTTCTCTGTCACTATCCTCTAACCTCAGGTAAGGTGCTTCTCAATGGTACAATATCCTGCAATATCCTATGACTGAACTATACTTTGTAAATTTGCTCAGAGCTGGCCCCATTTGCATTGCTATTATTGGTGAGAACAGCAAAGTCCATAGCTAATACATGAAGTGTAGCTCCATTTACATGTCTTTTATTAAGATTAATCATTAATTAATGTAAGGCCTTATCCTTGATTATAGGGATCCCATTGTGATATAAGAGTTTAAATGTTCTCTTGAAAAATGAAAATTATTTTTCAATTACAGTCATTCATGATCCCAATTCAGGCAAAAATTTTATTTAAATAAATAATTAGTCTTGGCAATAGCATCATAATTTATGAATGTGTAAAATTTGAATGTGCTAATTCTTGGTTGCTGCATTAGTTTTTCAAGTGACATGTTGCTATATATATGTGTGGTATTGGGCTAGGAATTATCCAAAGCAAATAACACTTATGCAGTCTTGCCTGGCTCACTGGAAACTTACTTTGTAAGGCAGGAGCTTAGTCAGTTGATTTGAACAGATCTTCCACGCTTCCTCCTGTGTTTTCCTTTGCTGAATTCCTGGTAAAAATCCTACAACTTCCTGGGGTAGAGATAGTGCTGAGTGTTAAAACCCAAAATCACACTGACAAATTTTTTTCAACACTCCACAGTATTTTAAAAATCATCTCTTTTTGCATTCCATTTCTTTTGCTTTTGCCATTGTTGGGTATTTCTCTACCATGCAGGTAATTAGAAACTGTCCTTGAAAACAAAAATCCTGCCTTCAAATTGGCTCAATTTGTTACAGCCTTTGTGATGTTGTGGTCATTTTTATGCTGCGTACATTGTTATGACACAAATGCTACATGTGAAGAAGTCACACAAAAATTGTTGTAGGGCTGTGGCAATTAGCAGGACAAGATGCAATCTCTCTAAGGTGGAACTTCAAAGAGTAAGTCGCTGCTGGGGGACAAATAGGAAACAGAAGAGGGAAAAAACCAAGTTGGATTCAATCCAGAAATTCGTTATCTATGAAAATCAGTAACCCTTTCCTTTTGGTGAAAGAAAGGTCAATAGTTTCTTAGCATATTGAAGGCTGGAATTATGCCTTATAGATCTTTGCTATAATCAATACCCTACTCGTAGTGTGTGCTTGACAAGAATTGATGGTAGCCAGAAGATGGTAATGTTGATAACAATAATTTCTACCTTTTATCAAAACTTAACTAATTTGTTAGGGTTCCTTTTTATGTTGTTTCCTCACAAAATATTCAGTATTTTCTGAGACTGTGCAATGCAAAGCCTGGACACGCCATATGGGTAGAATGAAGGTTAAAATATGGCCTCTGAAAAGTGACACTACCTTAAATTGCAGTCATTCTGAATGGGGAAGGGGTAATTTTGCCCGCCAGTGGACATTTGGCCATGCCTGGACACATTTTTGGTTGTCACATATGGGGGGTAGGTTGCTACTGGACTCTAGTGGAGTTGCTACAGGACAGCCCCCCACCAAAGGAATCATCTGGCCTAAAATATCAATAGCATCAAAATTGAGAAGCCCTGCTTAATAACTGGGAAAACCCTCTCTGGGTTCCTCATAACAGTTTCTCTTCACCTATGATATTACATTAAATTCTGGTCTATATATACCATTTAAAACTATGGTCAAGGCTGTTAAGAAGAGAGGAGAAAAGAGTGTGTCTCCATTACATTTTGACAGTCATATCTGTCATGGTATTTGAATAGGCCACGCCATGTGAGTAAACCTAGCCTAGAAGCTAGGTAGTTCCAGGCTTAACTTATTCAGATAGTTGCTTCCATTTTTGGCTTTGAACCACTTTTGCAGATGTAGTCTCTAGTTGCAAACTACCCTAGAAGACATACACTCTCAGCCACCAAGTGGAAAACCAGAATATTTCCCTATTGACAGAGAAGATGAGTCACCCAGCCCCAAGGCTGACAAGCAACCTAGACAAAGCTTGGGTCCCTGGCTAAATCAGCTATCTAATTGCACTAGGAGATACTATGCTAGGTTTGTTCTTGAATTCATATAGTAAGGCCTGGCATTTGTATGGTACTTTTAACTTTTAAAATAATTTTTCTTTATATATCCTTGATCTGAAGAGGTTAGAAGCAGAGGGCAGGAGCAGAGAAAGAAATTTTAGCCTTATCCACAATCCACTGAGAAAGCACCAAACTTCAGAAGCACACACAATCCTCATATGTTAGACAATTGCACTGTATATAGAGCCTTTGAAGGAAACAGCTCACAAGAATAAGGGTTTCACTATCCCTGAGCACTGCTGGTTGCATCTGGGCTTGAAGTGGAAGTCTCAGCTGGACTGCAGTTTGGTTAAAGAAAGGGAAATGTCTCCAAAGTTTTATCCACAGTCACATATTCTACTCACCCTCATGCCGAAGGGAAGATGGCTTAATCACAACATAGACCTCCCTCGTTTGGGATATTAGTCTGGGTATATGATTTGTTTGGGTATATTAGTTTGCTGGTTCACAGTAAACTATCTTTGAATGAAAGGCAAAGAATCGAGTGATTTTTTTTCAGCGACCCTTTTGGCCAATCTTAAGAAACACTTCCACAAGTATTCAAGCTGTAAGGAGGTGGAAGCTCCACCCTCACTTCTCCCTCCGACGCCCCTCCCCATCGACACAAACTGTTCATCCCCCAGGGTAATCATTTTCTTTTCTGCAATGCCTTGCTCCCATCCAAAAGCTAAATACTCTCCAGAATATTGGACTCCTCAGGACTAGGAGGATTAAGAACAACAGGAAAATTTGTCTTGCTTGGTTCAAACGAGTTTTCCGAGTTAAGCTAGGAGGAGAGTGCCTAAGGCTTGCAGTAAACATAACTAATACCAGCTTCACAGGCTCTACAATGAAAACACTCGGCCATTTAGGCAAGGGATATGGTTCTGGCTTTTTCTGGAGCTTAGACTTAGGCTCCCAGGGCATGCAGACGGGGTTAAAGAGCAGCAAGAAGTACAGTGGAGCTTTCTCAGAGCTAGGGATTGTTCTGAGAATGGGTAGGCAAAACGGTTTCAGGTACCAGCCCAGCGTCCAGAAAGGCAGAGAGTCACTTGCCGCTTTCCTGAAAGAGCGAGGAAGGGAGATAAAAGACAAAGCCGAGATTTGGGACTGTGCAGCCCGGCCATGAGATGCTGCCAGCTAGCGGACCTACGCGCCTGCAGGTTGCAGGTAGAAGTCTCAGGCGAGTGGCGGGGGTGGGGCTATTTAGCCCCTTCCAGTCAGGTTTAAGAGGGTGGACATTCTGGGCACCAGGGTATAGGGAGAAAGACGGAAGTGGAGAGGTGCTTCACATGAAAGGAAGGCGTAAAGATCAAAGAGTCACCCAAGTGTCCGGTGATACCGCCCCTCTCCCCCAACCACAGACACCACTAAGCAACTTAGCCCTTCCATCCTACAATATCACTATCCCACCCTGCATCAGTGTAGGCTGGATCTTGGGAAACCGATTCTATGGGTGAGAGGGGCACAGAAGGGAGAATTAGGTAGCTCCAAATAGATTAAACTAGATCTATCAGGGATCGAAGCCCACCCGATAGGACCCTGGGTCAGTTCCTGGCGACTCAGTGCCCCGCTGTCCCGCTGTCCTACCAGCCACCCGCCTGAGCTCTTGCCGGTTCAACTCCCCTTCCCCCAGAATGACCTGCGGTCCCTGGAGCAGCCTGGCCACCGCCAGCCCAGAGCCCAGGTTGAGGGTGGTGGGCAAAGGTCACTGCTCGAACCAGGAGATACTCAGGTCAAGGAGCAAAGAGAGATTCTGCTAGCCAGAGAATCCGAGGGGCTCCTGTCCCCTCTATCCGCAACCGCGTTTAGCCTCCCACCTCCCCTCCGGTCTCTGCCACCACCCAGGGGAGGGGAAGGTCTGGGGAAGCCAACGAAGGAGACAGAAAATTCCGTACCGAGGGGGGAGAGATGAGATGGTGGGACGGGGCAGCAGGGGTTGACTTGGGGCTGCGGCTGCGGCTTCCTTCCACCCCTGGCCTCTGAGCTGCAGAGAAGGCAGGAGATGCTGCCCGCGCCGCCTGCCCCGTCCTCCCTCTTTCCCTCCCCCGTCCCCGCCTCCCCCGCCCCACCCCGTCCGCCACAGCCTTTCGCCGGGAGATCGAGAAAGGCTTCGGGGCTGGGGGAGGTGAGGGGTGCTTTCGCCTGCCTACCAGGGTTGTCTCTCTCTCTTTCTCTCTCTCTCTCTCTCTCTCTCTCTCTCTCTCACACACACACACACACACACACACAGACACACACACGCACACGCACCACATCACAACCAAGACGGGCTGTCCGCAGCTCTCAGCCACCCCAAAGGGAGGAAGAGAACAGGAGCAGGGGGAAGCCCGGCGCAGAAAGAAGGGAAAAGGAAGAGCTCAGGGTTGAACATTTGTGGAGATTGGGGTGGGGAGGAGAAAGGGAGCGTGCCTCCTCGATTTTCCCCTCCCTACCCCTCTTTGCATTTCTCTCCCCTTCCCTGTATAGCATATTCCAGACAAGGCAGCAGAAGGGGATAGAAACCTCTAGTGTAGAAAGGGATTTAGAGGGGTGGCCAGCGTTCCCGCCAGCCGCTACCTAACAGCAGGAGCTTGAGTGTGCAGGTAAGAGTGTGAATGCCGCTCTCTCTCTCTCTTTTTCTCTTTTCTCTCCCTTCTCTCTGCATCTCCCCCTTCCTCCCTCCTTCTCCCTCTCTTTCATACTACAGTGTCAGCTTCCCCTGTCAGTTTCCCTGTGTCAGTTTCTTCCCTAGCTCTTATTGTGTTCGGTTGGCTGCGTTAAAGGAGCGTGTGCGCTTGAAGGAGCTCAGGTTGGGTTAGAGAGCTGAGAGAACAGGGCAGGGACACTGGTAGAGCAAAGAGTTTCGGGGCACGGACGAAGGTGAAAGGTGAGGAGGGCTGATCTGTTACAGGGAAGTTTGGGAATAACTGATTATCCAAAGGGGAAGCCAAGGTAGGAGTCAGTACTTGCGCTCCTCATTATACCCCGCCCCTTTCCCTGTGCTCATCCTCCCGCCCACCCATCAGCCTAGAGGCCCCAGGCTGTCCCAGGCGGCTGCTGTTTGCGCGCTGCAAAAGAGGAGTCCGGCAAGGCACAGCACCTCGCATCCTGGCTGGCGGACACTCAGACGACACAGGTCTGATCCGGAGGAACCACTTGGCTCAGGGTAAGTCGACAGGCGGCCGGTGCCGTCCATTGCGCTGCCTGAGCGCTGCTGAGGAGCAAGGGGAAGAAAAGTGCAGGTTGAATGAAGATGCTGGGCTGGTGTAGGCTGAGAGGTATTGACTGGCTAGCTGTGGGCTCAGGGTGGCAGAGGGAGGCCAGCAACAGATTGTTTTGGAAGACAAAATGCAATGCGGGAAGCTCTAGGGGTGATAGGACAAGGTGCTCCTTGGCGACGACCAAAAGCATCCCTTCACTGGGAATATTTTCCCAAACTACAGCTCACAGCTTTGTCCTATTCCTGGACAATGATTTGCTTCATTCTTGGGTAGATTTTAAGATCCCTGGGGATCCGAGGCCTCCTTAAAATCGATTAGTGTGGCCCTCGGACCAAGGATACCTGACCTTTGTCAAAAGCCACCTTCAGAAATAGAGAGCCGGAAGCTGGATCATGAAGGTCCAGGAACCAGAGTCCCCATTTACCTTCTTTGTCTTGTATCCTTCAAACTTAAGAAACGGCCACGTTTTTTGCTTGGCTTCCTTAAAGAAACCAAGAAATGCAAATGGAGGGGCATCAGTCAGATCTCTGCTTCAAAGTAGACACCTCTCTCCCTCTCTACACACACACTGGGTTGGACAAATGGTCATGATCATATCCCACATATGCAGGTACTGAGCTGAATTCACAGGTGCTGATCCTTCTCCACAGTCTCTTACAATAAGACTAAGAGAAGGGTTTTTCCTTATTATATCCTGGGCTCTTTGGATCACAGTCATATACCTGGTGATGGTCAAGTGTTTAGCAAGGTTATTACTCCCTCATGAAAAGCCTGAAGTGGGGAAACCAGCCTGAAAGATACAATCTCTGAACTTTACCCAAGTTTATTATACGAGTAGGAGAGACACAGACTAATCGATAATTCTCCTTTTAGAGATTGTGCATGTTAGCCCTTGGCTTCAAATGAGAAATACTTATTACATTGACATGGCACACCTAGACTCATTTTTTTATTGCTGGTATTTATCTTTATGGCATTTAACAAGAAAGACAAGTTTATATATCAGCATTCATAACTGTCTATTGTTAGTCCCCTAGGTTTTTTGATGTTTTATTAATGATTTATATGATGTCTCCTTACCCATAAACTCTTTAAAAACAGAAATATAAATGATATCACATGGTACCTTTCATCATGTCTTTCAAATCTGCTTAGAAGGCATGCTAATACAATTACATAGTATGAAGTTCATTTCAAGGCAAATATATAGTCTGGGATAAATGAAACCCACAGGGTCAAGGAGTCTCTGAAGCTCTCTCTGTGAGGTTGAAGGAAGAATTGAATGCCACCTAAAAATCCACATTTTGGTCCCTGGAAGATGCCATTTTCATAAACTTTCACTGTATATATATATATATATACATATATATATGCACAGAGAGAGAGAGAGAGAATCTGTGTGTGTGTGTGTGTGTGTGTGTGTGTGTGTGTGTGTGTTTGTGTGTGTGTGTAGTTTTTCGAGGACCTCAATCAACCCCATACAATTTTGGCTCTGCGCTTTTGTAACAGAGGGGAGCAGGAGGTGAATTTGTGCTTCCAACACACCGAGGGTCTTCTGTTAAACTTTCTATTTATTACTGCTTTACAAAAATGCAATGAATTGCCTCCCTCCAACTCAGCAAATAAGAGAAACAGATTTTGCATTAAGTGAAACTGTTTATATTGCATCAGGCAATTTGTTCTAATGTTCACTGCTGAAAGAGAGCAGAATGAAGATTACTCAAGTAGGATCTGAAAAGGTGCCCATTCTGTTACTTTTTAAAGGCAACCATAAGTATTTTCTTAGGTTAAAATTACACTTTCCTATAGATATAGCAAAGACCGAGTTGCACACAGGTAAGAAAGAACTGGCAGCATCATAGTTGGGGAAAAACTCAAAATTTCAGCACAAATGAAGCCTACGGTGTTGGTTTTTCTCTGTTCTTGATGATATAAGTATCTGGCTGTTGAAGTGAGTCCTGATGGTCACCCAGGGGACAAGCAGGTCAGCAGGTTCGGGGATTCAGAACCAATGTAGCCCCAGCTTCACTGAAACAAATTCACCTGGCTTTAGTATACATTTCAACATGAAGACCTGAACCAGATATCTGCCATTCTTCTCAGCTGTAAGAGCTATAATCCAAAGATTCTGTTCTTTCTAGACCTAACAGCTAAAACCAGAATGGCACACAGACCCACAGTAGTTAGAGAAGACTAGGCCAGGGAATTAGAGATGCAGAGGGGAAAAAGATGAGAGGAATATGAGAGAACCAAAGATGTTTTGAAACAAATGGAGAGAAAACTATCCAGGTGTTTGCTTTGGTTGGGAATGGAATTAATCCAGAAGTCAACTCATATGTGATGCATCTTAAAATTGCCTGTATTTGACTTGCAAACACTGAATAAACAGTGATAGAATTCCATAGAACCAGGAAACTGGGGACCTTGGAGTACATTTTTGGTGTTGCCATCTCATTTTACTCCATACAATATTAAATTCCAATCTGCAAGCCATTCCAGTGCTTAATTATTGAATGGATATTTCAAATGTGTCATGCTGCTTTCCGCTAGCCTGTTTTTGAATATTCTAATTTGTCTTTTGCCATGGCTCCATCACTGAAGGTGGTAGACCAAAGCATTTCTGCCTGCTTTACTTCTGCCAAAGGTTCCTGATTTCACCTTAGTATACCAAGCTGTTCAGATGCCTCCTGCTAACTAATAAAGTATATATGGCACAGGATCTCTATCCTCAAATCACTGTGCCACAAATGTATTCTTGTTATAGTTTTGTAATTCAGAAGTCTGACACAGGGATCACTGGGCTAAAATCAAGGTTTCAGCAGGACTGCCTTCCCTTCTGGAGGCTCTAACAGAGAATATACTTCCTCACTCAGATTGTTGGCCTAATTCACTTCCTTGAGGTCATAAAACTGAAGTTTTAATTTATTTGCTGGCTATCAGGATTATTTCCTATTTTAAGGTCTGCTAATTATCACTTCAATTATATCTGAAAAATCTTTTTCACCATGTAACATCATATTCACAGGTTCTGGGGATAAGGGTGTTGACATATTTATGGGGTGGCCATATCTTATCTACCATAATATTCTATGTGTTGAGTGCTACAAATACATGGTCTTAAATGAAATTCACTACAGTTTCTATATGACAAAAATTATTATTATTCCCATTTAACAGATAAGGAAACAGGATTAGACGAGTTAGCTGGTATGTTTAACATTGCACAACTTGTGAATGGTGGAGGCAGGGTCACAGTCTCTCTTCTTCCAAATCTTGAATTTCCCTATTGGCCTACGTTATGCAGCTGCTTCATTGTTGGAAAGCCCTTTTGGTGGTTATTGTTTCACTTGTTGTTGTTATTTTGTTTTGTGTTTTATCTTTTTATTCACATTTTTGAATAGTTAATTTATATTCATGGTTTAAAAATCAAAATGTGTAAAAAGGTATTCTGTTTTCCATCTGCATGGTTGTCCCCACCCCTCCCTCATTTGATTTGTTTCCCTCTAAAACTTCTGAATGAAAATACAAGCAATCGTACAGCAATATTTTTACACTTTAACAAAATGTCTCAAACCACAGCTCAAATCCATTTTGTCTTTTTGTTGCATTCTCATTACAATGCAACTTCGAAAGAACTAACATCTGTGTTAAGTGACAGATCTTCGGGCCAGTCAGTTAACTAAGCAACTGGTGACTCCACCCACTTTCTAAAATGCCTTATAACCCTTTTGACCCCATGATGCTCACTTAAATACTCTATATATTATATAACCTTAATGCCTCAATATTGTTATGTATCCCATCAATTTTATCTAAACATCCCAGTGTCCTGGAATTTTAGGAAACTCAAACATGAGAGAGAGACAGTGAGAGAGAGACAGAGGAGAAAGGAGAAACAGATAGAGAAAGCAGAAAAGGAAATAGAAAAGAAAAAGAAGGAGGAAGAAGAAGAAAAGGAAGAGAAAGAGAGTCAGAAGAAGAAGAAGAGAATGTAGATGAAGAGGAAGGAGGAAGAGAAAGAAGAAGAGGGAAAGAAGAAGAGGAAGAAGAAGAAGAAGAAAAAGAAGAGGGAGGAGGAGGAGGAGGAGGCCCAGAGTGTACAGTGGGAAATAAACATATATTTATGAAATATATTTTTCTATTATTCCATATTGTAATGAGGGGATTATATTTTAGCATAAATAAGTGTAATGCCTTATTTATAAATAATCTTTGATAAAATAGACACAGCTATCTATTTTGCAAAAGAGCATGGAACTCTTACATAATTACAAACATTGAAACAGGCTACCATATAATTGGGTACCATCTCTTATAGCAATAGGCACTGAAAACAAAGGATGAAAAGTTAGGTTTAAACAAAGAATTGAATAAAGCTAGTGACAAAATCAGTATACCAGAAGTAATTATTTTGTCATTCCTACTATGAACATTGTTCTTTAGCTGTAATGTAAGTGCCTCTTCTTTCCAGCATATCAGTAGCATACAATATACACTTGCCTTCTAGTGGCACAAAACATAGCATTTCACCATCTTCTGTTTTTTTTGTTTTGTTTTGTTTTTTTTGCTACCCTTTAAACCAGTAGTTTTCCATCTGTGGGCAGTGATTCATTAATACACTGTGAAATAGTTGATAGCCACTATTTTTAAATAAAATAGAACAAAATAGAGAAATGTGACTCTCATGCAGTAAGAGTAAGCATTGTTTCATTAATCTTACTTTAGTAATGCATGTGTATATGTGCACACATGTATATCTTCATGTTTGTGTATAAGGTTCAAAATAAAATGTTCTTCTTGCTGTGAGTTATTGTCCAAAAGTTTGATAAATATTGCTTTAAACAATTAGAACCACTGGATAGATGTTACATTTCAGAATCCTTATCAATAAATAAATCTCTGCCAACATCTAAAAACCTTGACCTTCCTGAACATATTTTTCTAA